GTGACCCTGCTTGGGCAGGGGGTTGGACTAGATGACCCACAGAGGTCCCTGCCAACCCCTACTATTCTGTGATTCTGTGATTCTGTGACCACTTCTTCTGCAATGTCAGCCCTCTACTAAAGCTCACGTGCTCCGACACCCGCAACAACGAGATGATCATCTTTGCCTTTGTCACCACAAATGTGGTGGGCACGAGCGTGATCATTTTGCTCTCCTACATCTGTATCCTCCGCACGGTCCTGAGGATGCACTCAGCACGGAGCAGGTCCAGAGCCTTCGATACCTGCACCTCCCACTTGATGGCTGTTTCCTTATTCTACGGGACAATATTCTTCATGTACCTACAATCCACGTCTAGCCACAGCAGCCTGGATAAGGTGGCCTCCATCTTCTACACCGTGGTCACCCCCATGCTCAACCCCTTCATCTACACCCTGAGGAACAAGGAGGTGAAGGGTGCTCTGGTGAAGTGCAGGAGAAGGGTGTTCAACCACTGTCAGCATAAAAGAGCTGTACCAGCTAGGAAGTGAAGAGTTTATCTTCTGTGAGAAAGCTTATGATGCATTAAAACAATCGGATTTTTTCCCTAATCCTCACAATTCTAGGTAGGTCCTTCCACAGTTTCTGCACAGAAGTGAACTGCAGTACTCAGCCATGAGAAACAGACCCCACAATCACATCTTCCTTGGAAGGAAACCAGGAGGAATGGGAGCCTCGGACTTTATTCCACCAGCCTGTAGGAATGAATGACCCTGAATTATTGCAGGCTGCTCTTTCTCACAGGAAGCACAAATCATAGTTTTATTGATTTATGACTTTTTGTCACTGATAAATATGCATTCTCCTTGCAAGTTTATTGACTTTGTCCCTAAAATCCAATAAAATTCCTCACTGTTACCGGTGAGTTGTTTATTAGTCAAGATGCTGAGGCAAGAGGGAACATTTTGGAAGAGTAAATGTATTTTAAAATTTGCTTGCTGAGAAAGAGGAAGATAAAAGGCCTGAAAAAATACAGTGCATTTCTTTCTGACTTAAAAAGGGAAAAATCTGGTGGAAGTCAGGATCTCAAGCTCTGCCTTCGAATATCCAGGGGAATCCCTCCCCAGGCTGCACACATCAGCATCCATCTTCACTTAAAGGAAGAAAGTGCGGACAATGTAATTAAAAACAGGGCGATGAACCATGCTGAGATAATTTCTGCACGGTGATAGCATCGAGGGGCCCTCGCATTCATTTGAAGTGGTGTTCTACCTCATCTTAAGGGCCATTTACTTCCGTGGTGAGACAAATGGAATTTCACCTGGAGAGGTGCATCAGCGTCCCGTGTCCGTACGCCCAACTCACGCTGAGGCCATGAAAGCCAAACGGTGTATTTCATTTAAAAATTAAGCATGTGTCCAGTTTCGATAGGTGAAAGACAATCCTAAACACGTGATCAATGGTAGCTGATAGCTGTCTGGGTCTGAAAAAAGCCAAAATACAGCAGTTCTGCAAATTATGGCTCATGGTGAAAGACAATCCTGAACACGTGATCAATGGTAGCTGATAGCTCTCTGGGTCTGAAAAAAGCCAAAATACAGCAGTTCTGCAAATTATGGCTCATTAAAGAACGGGGACATAAAGCATGGTACAGGAATGGCCACGGCACTCGGGAGGGGCCAGCAATCCTTCATCTTTACCTGGTAGGCAGGTAAGAGAAAAAGCATCCTAATTTCTGCTCACCCGAATTAATTCAAAAGGACATTTCTCGTTTCTCGAGTGCACGCTCACAAGCGTTTGTGGCTGGGTGCAATTCTGCAGCCTCCTATCAACAAAATTCAGGTTGGCTGGGAGAGTTGAGTGTAGGGCCTTCCTCCTCCTCACACTCTTGATTTCGGTTGCCCCTTGCCCGTTGACGCCGCTCGGACACGTGATGAATTCTGGTTCCGCAGAGTGATCGATGGGAATATAGCGGGGAAACGCTGCAACAGAAAAAGCTCTATCCCTTGGCTGTGGTGGGGAGAGTGGGAATTAACTTGCTGGGAGAGCAGGTGGGTGGTGAAGAGTCTTTTGTGTGCTCGGGCAAACGGCAGCGGGAGAGGAGACGTTGTCTCAGGTCTGGGGGAAAAGCAGCTTCTGCCTGCAGCTGAATGAAGGAGCTGGAATCAATAGAATTAAAAGCTAAAGAGCTTGGCAAGATGGAGACTTTTGGTGTCAGATAGCTTCTTTCTTTTCAAACCCTCGCTACACCTTGTTTTCTTCCTTCTCTTTTGTCGGATATTTTTGCTTACAGTATACATATAGAAATGTATAGAGAAATCCTAAGCTGGACCTTGAAAGAACATCTGATCCGACCTCTCGGGGGAAAGGGAGCCTAGATGAGAAATTTAATGTGTAGGACTCACTGCTTGATGAATCCCCTCACTCTGGGTGTCCTCGTTTCCTCTTGTTTTTGATGAAGTTTCCAAAGCAGAGACAACTAAAACACTCGAAGGTTTACCTGGACTTGGTGTTACATTCCTAAAAGAGGTCTGGATTGCTGTAGTCTTGTGTGTGGTGGATCCACCTCAGGGAACTTCCAAGAGGAACTTCAGTTTAAGGTGCAGTGGAGGCAGAACTGTAGACTCCCGCAATAGGAGAAACAGACTTGGTTTTCTTGGAAATACTTTCTCTGCTAAGAGCATCACTGCGTTATTTTGCTTCAGTCTTTGCAGAGAAACGATCTACAAAGTGTAGAAACCCATGGCTGTAGACAGAAACTTCCTGCATGAAACATATAATAGAGGTCCTCTCCATAGGTGGTTCTGACAGCTCAAAGCACAAGCAAGTTTTTGGCAGGAAGAGCTGGAAATGTCCCTCTTTGCCCAGGTGCAGCTAGATCAGCCTGAACATTTTGGAAAGAGAAAATCAGGTGCTCTGTAGATCATTCAAAACCTGGCCCATATTGACCTGAGCATTTAAGACTGTATTCATATAACCTAGCCTTACCTAGCTAAAAATTAGTTACCGAATCTTTAGCTTTAGATACCTTATCTAGCTTTATTTTTTAGATAATAGCAAGGATATGTCTCTCAGAGCAGTGCCTAACATCAGTGAGATAAATGCCATTTTTCCTGTTAAAAAAAAAAAAGTATTTTGTTAATTAGTTTCATTAAATTTCCTGTACTTGTAGAGGAATATTTCATTGCCCTTTGATGATAAGGGAGCGGGGCCCTGAATGTAAAAAGAGGTCATAAGGCAGGTTTTAAGCTGTAAGCTGGGAGATGCTGCTGGCTGTGGAAGAGCATTTTGACAGGGCTATCAAGGAGCCTGGAGCTGATGTCCAGCGTACATCTGAAAAGAGCAAGAGGGAGGGGAAAAAAGCTACACGCAATAAAATACAGAAGGTGAATCAGACTGTCTATGGTGTCTGGTGACTGGCACAAGGCAGTAGTAGAAAGAAAGCCAGACTTGGAGACGCTTCCAAACCAAATCTGGAAGCCTCAGTAATAGAATGGGGAAACAAAAATCCTTGGCATCAAGTGAGGCTACGGCGTCCTCGCAAAACCATCAGAGAAATATCCTGCCAAAGCTACTTGCCCATGACGAACTCCCTCAGGGCATTCTTCACATCCCTGTTCCTGAGGCTGTAGATGAGGGGGTTCAGCATGGGCACCACCAGCGAGTAAAACACAGCGAAGATCTTGTCGGTGCTTAGGGTGTCTCTGGATGTTGGTCGGAAGTTCAGGGCGAGGATAGAACCGTGGAAAATGGTGACTCCAGCCAGGTGAGAGGTGCAAGTGGAGAAGGCTTTGTGCCGGCCCTTAGCAGAGCTGATCTTTGAGACGGTGCAGAGAATGAAGGTGTAGGAGACCAGGACGGCCAAGATGGTCACCATCTCCACCAGTCCCGCTAGGCCAAATATCAGACCCCTGTTGACATGGGTGTTGGAGCAAGACAGCGCTAGAACAGGCATGAGGTCGCAGTAGAAATGGTTGACCTTGGCTGGCCGGCAGAAAGGCAGGCTGAAGGCAAAGTCTGTGTGCACCGATGAGTGTAGCAGGCCAAGCACATACGAACCGGCCACCAGCAGCATGCAGACCCTGTAAGACATGATGGCCGGGTAAAGCAAAGGCTTGCAGATGGCCACGTAGCGGTCGTACGCCATCGCAGCCAGAAGGAAGCACTCAGTGGTCCCAAAAGCGATGAAAAAAAAAAGCTGGGTGGCACAACCAGCCAGAGAGATTGTTTTCTTCTCCATCAGAAGGTTTATTAGTGTCCTCGGTGTCACCACCGATGAGTAGCAAGCATCTAGGAGAGATAAATTGCTAAGGAAAAAGTACATGGGTGACTGGAGTTGACTGCTGCTCCTGATCACCGCGACCATGCCCAGGTTCCCTGCCAGGGTGATGAAGTAAACGAGGAGGAACAGGAGAAACAAAGGTGCTTGTAGTTGTGGGTTGTCTGTCAGTCCCACAAGGGTCAGCTCCGTAATTTGCTCGGTTTGATTTTCCTCGGCCATCTTCTCAAAAAAGCACTGTGAGTTATGTTCATAGAGCCATAACAGAAAAAATAAAATGATGAAGAGACTCAGCACCTAAGAAGACCAACAATCCCTGGTGCCTGTAGTGGTTAGCCCACTTGTTATCAGAGATTTGTTTAATTTTAAATCAACATTCATCAGAAAACTATTTGGTAAGACAGGGAAAATTTTATTTCAGTATCCATTACTCTGCCAAGTGTTCAATTTTTCATTCAGTCTGATACATCTATATTTTTCTCTATTGTACACTCCTAGTGTACATCACATTTCAGCGCAACCCTCCCAAGTTCTAACAACAAAGAGTTAAAGAAAGGGTTCAGTAATTCCTATAATAAATCAGTTATATGGATAATGAAAACAGACTTTTCACCGAATTTGAATTAGAATCTAACTTTCAGAATTGTAGGAAGCCTTCCCAGTGGAGTTTTTTTTAAAGATTCTTTTGTCTGCAGAGAGAAAAGATGAAAATCCACCTTATTCTTCCATAACTTCTCCTTTATTTTGCTAATTTGGGGTTATGCTTTTACGGAGCGTATGGAAATGGTACAGTGCCATCATCTAGGAGAAAATAAACCATTAAAAAAAAGATGGTACGACCAATCTTTGCCTTTATAATGCTTTTCTCTGCGCCTCCTCATTCTAAAATTCATACTCCAGGAGCTTTAAATATATGAAAATACGCCAATGCATCCTGAATTTTTATGACAGAAATCCATGAGGAAGGCAGAGCAGCCCTCCACGGTGGTCCAGAAGCAGCCCCTGTGACACAAATATGTATTCACAACAGACCAAGAAAAGAGCCAAGAAAACTGGTGGGCAAACCAGCCCCCTTTTAATCTCAGATCGTGGAAAATCCTGTGCGGCTCGTAGGGTTTCTGCCGCCGTGGCTGAATCTCCTCAGTGGAACGAGTACATCTCTCCCATCAGGAAAGCCAGCAGGTAAATCAGTGTACAGCTGGTATTCATGAGCCTGGCTTCTATTCCTAACGGAAAATCAAATAAACTCTGTACCAAGGTGGAGGAAGTGCATGGGATTTAGCTGCGTGTCAGAAAACTCCGCCGTTTATTGGCATGGCTATGGGGGTCGAAAACCCTGCAGAGAAGCCTGGAGCATCACGAAAGCACTCCAGACAGAATTCCTCGGTATTGCGGAGATAAAGACAAATTATAACCAGTATTTTATCCGGTAACTGGTATTATAACCTTCATAAAATTATAAACAATTATAACTTGTATCATAACCTTTAAAAATCCACGTGCCGGGTGGTTTTCCTTCTTCCCCTGTTCTATTGCTCTGGCATGAGGAGAGTAACTCGTCCTGCTTTGTCTAATAAAGACACAACTGCAGGCTATGGAATTCACCTTTACAGGCTTCATCTGTGAAGGAGGAAGCCGTTCTCCTTCCCACTGTAAGGAATTATATATCATATTCTGCAAGGATATTAGATATCCCCTTAAAATTATGTATCGCCTGAAAGTTTCAGCTATAAAACAAACCTGGATGTCCTCTCTTCCTCACCAGCCGAGGTCTCGCTTCTTGCTCCTTCCTTGCTTCGCGTTAATTCATGACAGATTGTGAGGGCACTTATATGTTCGGTCTGTCCAGCCTGCCTGTTTTAATTGCTTTTTAACTCTGTCTCTAATCCACTGAGACTTCTGAGGTGCTTTTGCTGAGAAGTGTTTTGGAAAACTTCCTTTGGGAGAAACACAATTAATTTTATATACCTCCATCAAACATATATATATGTATATATACACACATGCACAATCTCTCTGTGCATATATATATGTATGACAGAGGAGTATTAAAATAAAATAAAATTAA